AAGCATGAAAGAAATTATTAAGTTCAAATGAAAGCCACTACTAAGCACAAACCTTTCAATAGCATCAGTAAAAAGCTCAAGTTCATCCAATGTTCCATAAACATCATAAACATCATCTATTGTTGTTATTAGTGAACCGACTTGTGTGGTCATTCTTCTAAAATATCCATACTGAGGTTGGAAAAATACTCCTGTAGTCCATAAGAAATTCTCCATCAATCTGTCCCTGATGAACCCCAAATTTTTTCCAAGACCTGTTCCCTTCCACCACCTAATTTGTGCAAAGAAAAATTATTTTTCACATCATGAAATCCTTTTTGTTTTTTTGTTTGTTTTTTTTTTTTTTCTAAAGGTTTAATTTGTATTTGTTAAGGTAATTAAAGTTATTGAACTTCTTACATTGAGGCATGTTTTAGATCTTCTTGGTATATCGCTTGCACCATGTTGAAATCCAGCTTGGCAAGATCAAGCAAGAGGGGGTTCATATCTGGACTTCGTTGATAAACCTCAATGAACCATCTTGCTTCCATCCTTGCCATTCTCCAACGGAGTGGAAACTCCAGTGCATGCTCCACTAGTGTTGAAAGGTAAGGATTTTTGCTTTCGTCTAACTTAACATATTCACTAAGACAATTTCTCGCGAAAGTTCTAGCTCCATCCAGTGTACTTTCACCTTCCAATGAAAGGAAGGAAGCTTCATACAAATATAGCATTCCTTTGCAATCCTTGTTGAGACAAGCCTTGAAGTTTCCACCCTCATTTACGAAATTTTTGAATATCTCTGCAAAGAAATACAAGATTTGAGTAGTTTTTTTATCAATTAGCCGTTTGATAAATTTACAACATAAGAAAATTTGAGATTGTTTACCTTGAGGTACTTTGTACCCATGTTGTCTTAAGATTCTAAATTCAAGCGCAGCCATGTATAAACTCTCTCTCTCAAAGCCATAATAATAACCTTGATTATTTGTGTATACTTTCTCCAAAATTCTGTTGATTTCATTCTCAAAATGGTAAGATAATCCAAGCCTTTGCAACGTATCAATGAGCTCGAGTTGTTGCAAAGGAACCTTGTCCATCTCCTTTTCTTCTAGCATCACTATAACATCTTCCTTCAACTTCTTGATGCGACTTTTGAATGATTCTTCCTGCTTAATTAATTATATATTAAATGTTTTGTTAAAAAAGAAAATTAATTAAGCAAACATATACAGTACTGTATATAGTACCTCGTACTCAACTTTCAGGGACTGAATGTCTTCAAAGCTCCAGATAGGAGGCTTGTAATCTGCAGATCTCCTCATAATGAGCTCATTCGAAATAGCTGCAACAGGAACAGAAGCTTGCAGGGGAAGAGCCATGGAGGTAAAAGAACTCATTTTCATTGGGTACATTGATGTGGCAGATCTGCATGTATTTATAGATATTGAATCTGACTGTTGTTTCCAATATCGGTGGCCCTAGGGGTGGGCAATTGCCGATTTCGGTGAAAACCGATACCAAAAAGTAACTAACCGACTTTTTTTTTGTCCTCTTTCTTTCATGACAGAAACCAATAACGGAAATCCTTCTATTTTTTCAGTATTGGATACCAAAAATTCGGTATACCGAAAATTTCGGTATTGGATACTAAAAATTTCGGTATTTATTTATTTTTTATTTTGATATCCACCGAATTTGCTGTTGCAGAGTGGGGAAAGGAGAGAGAACACTGGAGAGGATGAAAAAGGAAGAAAAGGGGTTAGAAGCAAATAAGATTAAGAAGAAAACGGGAGGAAGAAACTGTTGAAAATTTTTACGTGAGCTGTCGCTAATTGTATTTGGTTTTCAAAAATTGGATTAAATGAAAAAAACTAGTAAAACCCAATAAAATAATATGATCTAAGTGGACCTAAATTTTATCTCAGTTTTATATGCTGTGATATGAATAGGTGTAAGGCCTGAAAGTAAAAGTGGGTTACTTGATGGGAGTGTCCAAAAGATTATTATAATGGGTTAGATCCCCTCTCCCACTTAGAGAACCCTACCTCTATAAATAGTAGAGTTAGGGAGTGTCATGACCTATTTGTTGTCACTGTACAGAAGTCGATTAGGGAGAGGAAGACCTAAATCTCAATAGTAACTATATTTGTTTTGTAGGTTTTGTCATGAGATCCTTAATTATGATGATTCTTGAAGATTCTTAAAGATTCATAGGTAATATATTGATTATGGAAATTTAAAGTACGTAAGTTATTTATTTTATTAAATCTTGGTATTCTAAATTCTACGTATGTCAATCCCTAAAAATTCCAACAGATGGTATCAAAGCAATTATACAAAGATTTAGGATTCAAGGTTAGGTTTAATTTATACTATTTTATTATTTTGATCAATCAAAAACTAAAATCTTTTGACAAATACAGTGTTGAGGAGAAATTGATTATAAATTTCAAACTATTATCTAATTAATTGTTGCTTGGCTTGACCATCAACATAAGCCGATTAAATCAAGTTTAGATAATCTACTTTAATGGACAACCGAATTTATTAGAAGTCTTTAAGCACATTTAAATTGCCGTCAGGGTGTGGGTTCATGCAAGTTTAGAAAGATTTTAGTCATGAATATATCCAATCTTTCTCCTCTTAAATCTGTATTTTTTAATCAATGTTAATCAAAATTGATTTGGAGAGTTAGTAAG